GTTTTGCATCGTCTTTCTCCCACTTAGTGACGCGGCGCCCTGGGGTGATGCACTCCCTTCGCCGCCATCTTCCTATTCTCTGGAAATATTTCTTAAGGTTTCCTTTTTGGATGTCTCTTCTCGGTATATCTTCCYGAATAGAATTCCATCCACATCATTGGCTTGAGTACCTACAGTATGAAGACTCCCAATGGCTGGTCTCTGGTGCAGATATTCSTTTTATGTCCTAGTTACAAATATAAAGAAGAGGATAAAGGGGAAGATGGTCATGGAAAACTGTCCCGCCTCTGAGAAATTTCTGCTACTTTTCTCTTAATATCTGAAACTATGCAACATACTTCCTGGCTTCAGCTCTAGTTTATGACCTCTTAACTGAGTTCCTTGATGGACAAAAACCACATTATTCATTCACTTAAGTTCTCCTTTCCTTATAACCTCTTAGCAATCTGTACTCTGTCCTAATAAGTGCTCAGTAAATATTAATTTGTTGCCATAAATGATTTGCCTTTTTGCATGCTAAACAGACTCTTTGGGGATATTCATAAAGCTTTTGTGAGGCTGATAGGCAGAAAATTTCACAAATTTTCTGAGTGATTTCTACCATCTTGAACAAAGGTATTTATTTCACAGAAATGTATAATTATTATGGATTTATTATGTTATAACTATTATAGGAAGATAGTACTTCTTAAAAATGCAGCTCTCTCATTCAGCTACTTGAAAATCTACTACTGGTCATTCTCACGTACTCTAAAATTAGGCTGCTATTGGCTTAAAAAGTACCCTAAAATATAATTTTAACAGAAGGCAAATTATAATTTTTCTATCTGATACTTATTTATCTCTTTGTTTTATTGTATAGAGCTTATTAAACTAAATGAGTGGGTTGATTCAAAAACCTTTGAGCCCATTCATAGTCATTGACATTGTTACTGAAACATTTTAGCATATTGTGATAAAGTCTCAATAGCATATAAATACAATGAATTAATTTTCCAATGTGGTTTTAAATCTCAGAAAATATCTGCTGAGTAATTATCTGATTGTCATTTATATGCTTACATGTAATCTAATTTAAAAGTACTAATTGTAGCAGAATGTTATGGTTTAATAATTTAAGGTATGAGGGCAAAAACAATTAATGCAAATGGAGAAAATTGGACATCAAACTCATTTATTATTCTCCTTGCTCTATTAATCTGTTATCATCTGGCACAATTGGTGATCTAACTTGGTTTAATTACCATGAAGTCTACAATTTAGCTAATTAAAATTTATCACCCATTTCTCCAATAAGATTGAAAACATTTTGTAATTTTGTAATTATGAAAATACAAGATATACAAAGATATTTGTACACATGTATAAACATTCCAATAATGCAATTTCTTTGAGGAAAAAGTAGAACATTACCCCTTATAATCTGATTCATGGGCTAAATAGAGTTTAAGAAAAATTAGTGATTTCTGAGAGCAAGGGAATTATTGCTGTATGATTTTTTTTTCACCAGATACATTGTTTGTCTGACTTTTGTAGGGGATATTCAAATATGGTGTTGAATATTGTGATTTTAGGAATTGTTTAAAAATATATGAAATGAATTTTGTAACCACTGAGATTAAAGATTAGGAAATAGCATGAACCTTTTCTGAAAAAAAAAAAACTCTTGAATTTTTAATTTCTCCTCAGCTCCGCAAGGCTATTATAGATCATGTGTCAGACTCTTTCTTGGATACAACAGTCCCACTTTTGGTTCTCATTGAAGCTGCTAAGAATGGCCGGGAAAAGGAAATAAAAGAATATGCTGCAATATTTCATGAACACACCAGCAGGCTTGTAGAGGTAAGCATGCTAGAACTGTAACCGCTTTAAATCCAGGAGAATGAGACTCCCATTCCCCATTTACAGTTGAATTGTACCCAGATAAAAACTTGACAATGTATTACAAACGTAGCAGGGTTGTGGCTCGGAGATGTGATGGTGTTTATGTCAAATAGCATAAACCATCCCCCACTGGCTTGGAACAGGAGCGATTTATTGAGAAAGAGCTATGAAACTGCACCCACTGTTGTTTTATTTTTTTAATGTATATTTTGTCTGAGCTACATAAAAGAACTAGCTGAATACAGACACTTAGTTTTATCCTTGTAGATATTTTCTTTCCATTCTAACTTAAAAGTATCAAATACTTTTCCTTGGACTGTTTTATTGTTTCTCTACCACCTTTTTATGGTTGTATTACTCTTTCCATTTTTAAAAACATTTTCAACTAAGTACATAACTAAAACCAAGATTGTGGGATATATTAGGGTTGGATTAATGAATAATTAATAGGGATAGTAGGTCAGACAAGAGATGATTAAACTATAATTCCCTTTTCTTAAAAACTGGAGACAAGGGAGTAACCCATGATTTTGGAAGACGGATGGTGTATTGCTAAAGGAGCCATGAAGTCCTTAGAGAGTCCCAGGAGACAGACAGTGGAACCTATTGTATTGTGGTCATCAATAACAGCTACAACATAAGAGAGAGTGCATGGAAGAAATTCTAACACAAGTAAGATGACAGTACTCACAAGGCCAGGAATCAGTGGCGGGAAAGGGGAGATATGATTTACCAGATTCATATATCAGAGCTGATGTTCAGTTATCACTCACCAGTATGGCTAGTGTCAGTTCTGATTGCCAATACCCATGCCATACTGCTCACTAAATATCTTGCCTGCCTTACCTTCCTCAAACTCTGTAGGGAACTTGTAGTGACGTGTATTTTATGACCTAAGTTGCTTGTAAAACTTGTAGTGGGGAGGGGAGAGAACCACCTGCATTGGCATCACATCATTTGATACAACTTTCCTCGCGTCTTTAATTCATTGGTAAGGTGGTTTCCAATGTAGCTAGTATTTGTACTATAAACTCTCTTTTTACACTCCTATCTCCACAAATGGAAAATGAAAGAAGTAGATGAATGTACGGTCGCTAACCCCATTTCAGCCTTAAAACTATGCCACTTGTAACTTTGAAATCTCCTTTCAATTTCCTAGGAACTCTATGAGACAGGGCAAGTGTTTCAATTCCATTTTTTTTTTTTAAGGAAGTAAAGGTACCAACCCCAAACCTAATTTTTGTTGGACTGAACTTTCAGATTTATAATTTTAGTTAATTGATTCAGTAGTTTATTGTTCATCTAGTTTTATTTATTCCTTTGCATAGTCATTCCTCAAATATTCATTAATATACCTACTAGATAATGTTCAAAGTAAAAGCATGGAACRATAGGAACAGGTTGTGAAAGATAACATATGTAGCACAAATGTACCAGAGTCCCTGATGGTTGTAAAAGTTTCATATAAAAATGCATTCTCCAAAAAGAAGCAGCACAAAATTATGAAATTAGAAAAAAAACTTTTCGTGAAACACTTTGAAAGTAAAATTTGGTTTCTGATGATGAAATTGCATCCTTATTCCTATTTCTGTGTAGTCTTTCTGTGAAACATAAATCTCATTAAGCCCCCATTGAAAAGAGGTGCCTTGGTTGGAGATTTTATATTCTTAAAAAATCCTAAAGAGATTTCTTGCATTTCATTTAAGCTAGTTTCTCCAAATCAGTTTACCTAAGAAACACTTTCTTTCATGACTTATTACTAAATGACTGCTTTGAAGAATACTTGGAAATATGACTTTGTTTTCAACCATAATGATGGTTTATATTATGTAGATAGAGCTCTAAAATTTTGTTTTAAATATTTAAGAATTTTGAATGCTCTTTAATTTGAATATGGAAAGAGTAAAAGCTTTAGAATTATGAGCTACTTGGAGTCTGAGCTGGGTCTTACTTTAATCTGTATGCTCTCTTAACACATTATAAAGAAATGATGCTAGATTTGAAGTAATATTCAAGTTCAGATCTCATTCTGATTTTATTGAAAGGAGGTTTGGTCTAAGTTACTTTCAGTTTCAGTGAGTTTATGTTATGTAAAAATWAAAAAAAAAGATCCTCAATTGTAGTGGTTTATAATAGCTATTTGTTATTATCTCTCAATGATTTGTGGATTGACTGGGCAGAGCTGGATAATTCTTGTTTAGAGTTTCTCGAGTGATTACTCTTATATATTGGCTGGGGATGCCAAAGATTTACGTAGGTTGAACATCCAAGATGGCACATTCACATTACTCAAATTGCATGTTGACTGTAAGCTGAGGGAAGAGAGGTATGGTTTTTGACTAGAGCAATACATATCTTTCCCATGTGGCATCTGCTTTTCTTAGTGTTGGGTTCTATGATGATGTGTTAGAATAACAATTCAGAAACAGGAAATAGAGGCTGCTATTCTCTGAAGTCTTAGGTTTGGAAATTGCAGAAAAGTTACTTTCATTGTATCTCTTGGTCACAGCAATAATAGAGCCTACCCAGACACAAGGGGTGAGTATTGGTGAGATTTCACTCTCAACGAAGGGAACATCTAAATACTAATGGCCACCTTTAAACTACTGTACTTCTTTTCCCAGGGCTTACTTTGTTTAACCTATATAATGAAGTTTCAACAAAATAACATCTGAGGTTACTCCAAAATTGTTATTTCAATTGAGAGACTTCTGGTTTTCTGGGAGATATAGAAGCAGGAGGAAATAAAAATGGTTTTTAAGTATATTGAATGTAAGCCAGGATATATAAAATTATACACACACACACACACACACACACACACACACACACACATATACATACATACACAGAATAAGAATAAGAAAAAAAGAGTACTGCACTTACCTCTCAGGAAAATGCTTTTTTGGAAAGAACTTGCCTTATGAGAGCAATAGAGAAAATCAACATTAATTTACCATAGATATTGAGACAGAAGTTTTTGTGGCAGAGTCCTGGGAAATAGCAGTGCTTAAATTTATCAGATTCAGAGGACATTTTAAGTTCTCCTTGTATTGATTATTTATCAATCCCCTACTCCCATCCCTATGAACTCTCTATACGGATATGCACATATACCCATCTTATTCCCAAGGTGAATTTTTAACACAAAAGGGAAGAAAGTCTTGGATTCTAAATGACTTGTCGTGATAAAGTCATGTCATTTCAATTATGTTTCTCATGAACAATTTAAAATCAGAGAACTTGTTGAAATAAGATGTAAATGGGGAAAAAGTCCATTCTTAAAGAATTCCTTTTGGATCTTTGAAGAAAAACTCTATAGTGTTGAGGTAACTCATTAAGTAATGGTTAACCTGTGACTTTTACAAAAAGATAATAGAAGTGAAACTTTTATTAAACACAATGCAAAAAAAGGAGGTTTTAAGAAATTCTGTGGGAATAATAAGAAAAGGAAGTGGATTTGGGAAAATAGGGGAAATAAATAGAAATGGGGAGCAGAATGGCTGATAAATTGCACGTATGTATTTTCTGGTGAAATCATGTTTAAGGTCTCCTGCTATCTTATCATGTAGTTGGGTATCTTATCATGTAGTTGGGTATATTAAGGTATTAGGGTAAAATGTTGGTTAGAAAACCCCAGATACTGCCAATAACTGGAAAATCTAGATGTTTGTTACTAATTTTATCTTAGTTTTGCTGAACTGGAGTATTGTGAAAATCTTTTCCTCCTTTGAGCATTCTTAAAACAAATTTGTTTTTGGATCCATAGACTCATAGTGGGAATCGTAACCAGGAGTCAAGAGTGACATTTTAAAGACTATCTTAACATAGTGATTAGCAATTAATGATAGATAAGGTTATTGAATTATGGTCTTAAGTACTTTGATTTCACTCTGATAGTGACTAAGAGCATCATTAACTCTATTGGCTTCCAATAATAGGGTCTATTAAACAATTAAAAATATGAAATTTGTCTTAAAAATAAAAATATCTGTAATTCTAAAGAATAAGGAGTTTTTATTTTATTACTTTTGGTCTCCTTTAATAGCAAAGACTATACAGTTAGTACTTAATAAGTTCCTACTGAAAGAAGGAAAATGTTATAACACCAACTCAGTTCTCTTTCTCTCTAATGAGTTGATTTGGGGATTCTAATAGTTGGACTTGAGATATATGACTGAGCCCAGTTATTAAGCAGAGGGCTTTCTTGCTTTGCAGCTCATGAGTACTTTAAAATAATTCTTCACAGTGATATTAGTAAATGCCATTACCATTAATTTTTCAAAGCAGATACTGTACATCCTGCTCCAGATCTCCTTCAGAAGGAGTTTGTAACAATGCAGTAACATCTTTAAATCACTTGGCCCCCTCAGAGATGCAACTTCTAACTTTAGTTTGATGTTTTAACTGTTACTCAGAAGAATGACATAACTAATTCAATAAATACATTATTTATTACAATGCCTATTATGTAATATTTCTCCAAAATCAAATTTTTAAAATTTCATTGTTATTTGGTTATATTACAGTTTGTTCTTTGCAACTCAATTCATGCTGAACACTACAATTGCTACCAACTAAAACAGTGAGATTCCTGGTTTACCCCATGGATTTTACCATATTAGTTATAATTAAATATGATGGGAGGGGAGGGGAGGAGAGGGGATGTGGGGATAGCAAAGATAGTAGAATGAAATAGACATTATTATTTTATGTATGTGTGACTACATGACCAATATGATTCTGCAATATGTACACTCAGAAAAATAAGAAATGATATCCCATCTATGTATGATATATCATAGTGCATAAATGTATTTTACTGTCATGTGTAACTAATTAAAACAGATTCGAAAATTAATTTWAAAAAAAAGAAGTATGTAGTGACCAAGGCAATATGGGGTGAAGGCCTGAATTCGGAGAGTAGAAGAATTACTAAGAGAAAAACTAAAGATTAT